TTGCAGTGGCAGTGCAGCTGCCAGACTCCAAGTCACTTAAGCGGCAATCGCAACGAGATCGCCTGCGGGTTCAGAACGTTCCGCCGAACCCAGGCACACTGCAAGACCTCCAGCTGCAGGAGCGCTATCAAGAAACGAAGGGTGGGGACGTCTTCCTTCTCTACGACAGTGGACCGGAAACTGCGGACAACAGAATTATTGTGTTCTGTACGCAGGAGAACCTCGACATGCTTGACGACTGTGGAAGCTGGTATAATGATGGTACATTCAAGATGGTGCCTCGCCAATTTTACCAGCTGTACACCATTTCAGTTAAGAAGAATGGCTACTTCCTGCCGCTTCTATACGCTTTGCTTCCCAACAAGACCCAGCAGACCTACGAGAGACTTCTGGACGTCATCATACAAGCTAAAGACGGCATCCAACCTCAAACAGTGATGATGGACTTTGAGAAGGGTGCAATGAACGCAATGCAGATGAAGTTCCCAGACTGTCAAATTCACGGCTGCTACTTCCATCTCAGCCAGAACATATTCCGACACGTGCAGAGTGCTGGTCTTCAGGAGAGGTACACCACCAATATAGCATTCGCCCTTGAAGTGCGGAAGTTAGCAGCCCTCGCATTTGTACCACTTGGTGATATTGTCGAATTCTTCCTTCACTTGGAAGACATATTGTCGCCAGAAATGGATCCCATCCTGGAGTACTTCGAGAAGAGTTACATTGGTACCCTTCGGCACAATGGTCAACGCAGAACGCCACTATTCTCACCTCCATTGTGGAATGTCCACGACAGCACTCTACAAAATAAAGACAGAACGAATAACAGTCAAGTAGGGTGGCACCGCAAGTTTTCGTCTACCATCGACTGCCATCATCCCACAATTTGGAAATTCCTGGATGGTATTTTTGTCGAGCAGGCAATGATGGAGCAGTGTGTGGAGAGGGAAAATGCAGGTCATGAGGCTCCGAAGAAGAGGAGGAAGTATGAAGATTGGGACAAGCGACTTCGTGCCATACTCCGGTCGTTTGAGACCAGGACGAAGGATGAGTTTCTACGAGGAGTTGCTGCAAACTTGGCATTTCATATAATTATGTGATTCTTACAGGAATGAAGCATTGCAAAATGACTGAATTACTCTTTGCTACTGCCAGTTTCATCATTGACCCGGTATTCGAATACTTGTTGTTTGTTGTATGGTCAGTATCATTCAATATCATAGATGCAGGGTCGTACGCAACCGTGCTTTGCATTCAACTCTCTCGTGGTCACTTTGCACTATTTGCCAGCGTAACCTTCTGAACCATGTGAAGTTCTGCCGTCATTGCAGCACTGCATGGAGTATATGCAGGTAGTTGCACACTCTTGGGGTTATGTACTCTTACTGATGGTGAGAACACTATACCACCCCCCCCCCCCCCCCCCCCCAAAAACTCTCCTTGTCCCCTTCCCCACAGGGGATAGCACAAGGTATCATGCCTCATGGCGAGAACATTATACCCCGGAGCAGCAGCAGCAAAAGCAGCAGCAACCGTAGCCACAGCAGTAACAGCAGCAGTAACAGCATCAGAGCTGTGCGAATCAAAACACCGCATCGCAAACACCACATGGCGGACACCCTATCGGATTACTGAGATCACGACATGCAGGTAGAGTGGTTCTTACTGTCGTCGATGTCTTGATGAGTCAGCATCAATGATATCAGACAGGCTCAGGTTGAATAGAGAGAAGGTGGCCTCAGCTACTCCTCTGAAACACATCACATACATGTACAACCATGTAAACACACACACGCACGCACGCACGCACGCACACACACACACGCGCACACACACACACACACACACACACACACGCACACACGCAATGAGAGTTTTGACCTGCACTTGGATGTTGACCTGCGATTGAAATTCATGTGGTGTGTAAGAGTACCCGGCTATCCCATTTCAAACCCATGCAGAATTCAGCAAATACGCCTACAGGGGCGTGCTCGGCCCCCCAACTAGGGGGGTGCACGGGAGCCGAGGGGATCCCCCCCCCCCCCCCCCGGCAATTTTCTGCAATTTGTTTGCAACCTTTCTTGAATTTTAGAGCATATTTGCATACATTACAATTGCAATTACCCAGATTGAAAATTTTTGGGGGGTGCACGTGCCCCCCGTGCCCATCGCCGAGCACGCGCCTGCGCCTAAGACATCACTGAAACAGAAAGTGTAAGTGACTTAGACGGAGAGAGAGAAGGGGAGGGGGGGGTGGGGGTGGGGGGGGGGGGGGGGGGAGGGTGGAAAGTACTGTAAACTGACTACTGTTTGAGATGTATTAGTGTTTGCTAATTTTGTGAGAAGAGCTTAACGCGAATATTAACCATTGTGAAATCAAACTTCAACAGTGGGTGTATATGTGTGGCCACAGTGCTCCACGAACATTTGCCATCGTACACTCACTGGTTCAGAGAGATCGCAAATATTGAGTGACGCAAACATTGCGTGGCTTATCGTATGCCTCAAAAACCCCTCCCCTCCCTTCTCTCTAACCTGGGAATGCGAATGCTGCATTGCAGTTTTTATTCGTTTGCGTGAGAACGAATTACCACGCACAAGAAAGACTCCATCAACCAGAGCATGTAGTAGACAGAAGTGTGTGAAAGGCCCCTCAACATCAGTGTTAACCATAGTTTATTTCTCATGTCAAAAACTACGCAAACGATCAATAGCGCTGTCCGAAACATACACCTGAATATGCACGCTGTCCATTAAGAGTTCTAGGCATGAATAGTACACATACTTTTAACCAATTTCTCGTGTAAAAGTGAAGCTATGGATACCAAGCCCTCTGGTCATCACTCACCGATCAAGAACAAAGAAAACAGCCAACAGGAGAAGGGCATGGCGACCAGCAACAAACATTGCTAATGATGCCACCACCTTTAGACACAGCACAGAATGTGATAAACACACCCACACACATACGCACGCACGCACGCACGCACACACACACACACACATGGCCATGCACACAAACATGTACACACACACATACACACACACACACACACACACACACACACACACACACAGATACATGTACAGCCACACAAACCCCTGACCTCAATCCAAACACACACACACATCATGGCAAGTTTCCGCAAACTCAGTTCTTGAGCAACTGCAAAGCAGAGTATAATACGCCCAGTGGAGAGATAGCATGGAGATGGCAACATGGTATGAATCGTTCCTTGAAGACACCGACCAACGCAAACACTCTTCAGCACTACATTGCCGTGTGCTCACCTTGAAGACGAATGACCACATCACCAAATTGTAGGAGCCCCATCTAGCTAGGGCCGTACCAGCCAGTAGGACTACCACCTGAACATACGCACACACACACACACACACAAACGCACACACACACACACACACACACACACACACACACACACACACACACCATACACATTGTCATCATAGACGGATCGAGTAGTGCCATAGGCAACACATCAGCAGTATCCATGCTCGTTTTCTACAGACACAGGCATTGGGAATGTGAAAATGAACAAAGTGGTCTGTACACAAGTGATGCATAGCCTCATCACATAGCAACCAGAGATAGCAGCCATCGTACAGTGTTTTCCTGCTGAGTATTCACCAGCACCTGAGAGATAGTTCTGATCTTTGCTTGCCGCTGGACAAGCGCAGGTGACGCGACTTTTGTTTGTCACCACTTGCCTAAATAGCTATGCGTTGTCAAGAAGCAGTGACGTCAGACTTCGACAGCCTATTCATTGCGATTATTCGTTTCATATCTCCCTGTAAATTATCCCTGTATACATCAGTGTGCTGACCTGTGGTAGGACATAGGCCAGACCAGCGATAAAATGAAGAAACTCCTGCAAGAGTACAAAAATGAATACACACATACACACATGCATGTGCACACACGCATAGACGCAAACACACACACACACACACACACACACACGCAAGCACACAGATGGACACACACAGGGGCTCATACACGCATTGCTCATACATTCCATAGCTGGTTTCGCTCTTGGGCTGCCCCCGCTGCAGGGGCAGGGTCGGCGCACGCCCTCTCGCACACGGCCCGGGCCTATGGGGTTAGCAGGTTGAGGACGTGATATAGCAACCGCCAGCCTCACAGACTAAGCATCATGCAGAAGTTCCGCATTGAAACACACACCGTTTAGGGTACCGTGTCTCCTCAAATACACACATTTTTTTTTTTGGAAAGCCCATCGCCGAAGGCGATGATAGCTATTAGGCGAGGCAGTAGTTCTTGTGTCGGGATAGATCATTCGGACGGCGAAAGTCGCGGCCGCAGACACAGACGAACACTCTTGGTTGGGGCTGGCTTGGTGGCTTCCGACGGCTACGTTCGCGCCAGTCCCTCCGGTCCTGAGCAAGGTGGTACCATTGCGCCTCCGGGATACCGGTCGCACGCAGGTCTGAAGCTGCCACATCTCTCCAACGACGCTTGGGTCCATGGCGGGGCCGCGTGTTAGTGCCCTCCGCAAACAGGATCTGCTTTGGCAACCTGGTGTAGTCCATCCTTGCGAGGTGACCAAGCCATCGCAGGCGATTCGCACGAATGGCCTCCTCCAGCGAGGCTGGCATGCCGCTGCGCTTCGCCAAGTCTTCACTTGACAGGTGTTCCTGCCACTGCTGGTCTCGGGTAACACTCAGGATCGTGCGAACACACTGTCGATGGAATGTGTCCAACCTGCGCAGGAGGGGTGCCTTCAGCGTCCATGTCTCAGAACCATACAGCAGCACTGTAAGGACCACGGCCTGGTAGACCTGACGTCGGATTCCAAGCGATAGACCCGAGTTCCGGAAAATTGGTTGGAGGAGGCTACCAAACGCCCTCGATGCCTTGGCGAGACGAGTTGTGACTTCGGCATCCAGCTCTCCATCGTCGCTGATCGTACTGCCGAGGTAGGTAAAATCGCTGACCACGCCGATCACGTCACCAGCACTCCCAGGCACCACAATATCAGCACGGATGACACTCGGACCGACCGCCAAGAACTTCGTCTTCGGCACACTAACAGTCAGGCCCCAGCCTGACGCACACTGCGTAAATTCCTTCACCATCGTCTCCATGTGCTCATGCGAAGTGGTATACAGGGCAGCATCATCCGCAAATAGCGACTCGGACACGGATAAGTCTGTGAGTCTGTGCTTGGCAGTACGGTCGCCAACCAACTTGCGGCCGATACGATGTTTCATCGGGAAACTAGGCACTGTGGATGTTGAGCGCCAGTGTGCAAGGACGGCAGAGAAGTAGAGGTTGAACAACATCGGATCCAGGGTGCAACCCTGGCGTAGACCATTCTCCACCCCAAAGCTGTCAGACTGACCACTACCCACGCGAACAGACGCCATCATACCCTCGTGAAGAGACCGGATCACCTGAAGCATGCGCGGAGGCACACCGAGTTTCTGCAGGACCAGCCAAAGCGCTGTTCGGGGGACCGAGACATACACACACACACACACACACACACACACACACACACACACACACACACACACACACACACACACACACACACACAAACACACACACACACACACACACATGCACACACGCACACGCACACACACGCACACACACACATCACAGCCTGTGCACAAGACAAGAAGGAGGCCATTCCGGCTACTATGGTCACTGCCTGAAAGCCCAAAGTCCACACTCATCTTGTGGGTGATGGAGGTTGAGCGGATACTAGTACTTGTCAGCGGTGTAGGTGGTCTCCCCTCCTAGGGGACTCACGGCCGCTTCACGGAAGTATTGTATCATACTTGTGCGTCCATGGAGCTATGAAGCCGAGACCTCTGGTCGGCTGAGCTTAATGGGCCCCACCACCACACTCCATTATTCACCCCAGTGTCTGGAGATATGTGGATTTTGTAGAAGAAAAAAAACCAAAAACCTGTAGGTTGGCTGGTGCATGTCATTCATGGTCATTACGTGCAAGCTGAACCTAGGTTGAAATTTTTAGGAGGGGGGGGGGGGGGGGTGTGTGTGTGTGTGTGGGTGGGGGGTGGGGGGTGAACGTGCCCCCGTCCTCCATGCGGACTGCGGGCCTGCTTGTTCACGCTCATAGACTCCCTAGCAACAACAACATGTCTTGGTACGTACAGAACTACCCTGGTTAGTAGGACATCCTGGTATGTACAGAACTACCCTGGTTAGTAGGACATCCTGGTATGTACAGAACTACCCTGGTTAGTAGGACATCCTGGTATGTACAGGACTACCCTGGTTAGTACGACCTCGGTTACAAGACAAACCTCAATAGTAGACAACGATTAAAAATCAACTGACGCCTGAAACGCGTACATTCACGTCCGGATAGTGGATACTAGAGAGGTTAAGATGCACGTTATTTCCGACGTGACGAGCGATTTCACGTCAAATCTGGCGTAAAACTCCAAATTTCGACGTGAGCTGCAGGTCACTCGCGTTGTTTTCCAACGCTTGAGCCAAATAACGCGAGCTGAACCTCCGGGTCACGTCTGAAATGACGTATATCTCGACCTCGCTAATACTCTATTATAAGATAACCGCCGGGGTTATCTACTAACCAGGGTAGACCTGTTCTAGTAGACTGCAGGTAGGAGAACTCACTCACCACTCCAAACCGTAGTCCGATGAGGTGATCGGCAAACACTGCAAAGAAATTGCTTCTGAACGTAGTGTGGAATATCTGTAATGACAACGATGACAATGACAACAACAGCAGCAGCAGCAGCAGTAACAACAGCAGCAGTAGCACCACCACCACCAGCAACAACAACAACAGCACCAGCATCAGCAGCAGCAACAGCAGCAGCAGCAGCAGCAGCAGCAGCGAACAATAGCAACAAAAACGACGACCACGATAGCAACAACAAGCACGTCAATGATAAAGGCAAAGGGATCAAAGCAACAACAAACTCAACAACGCCAGCGACAACGACCGAAACGTTGTACCAGTATTCCAGACTAATGGAGTGTTCATCTTCTTTGTCATGTGTCTGCTGCATTTGAACAGAAAGTAACCATGACCTGTGGACAGTGAAGCCAAAATGGACGACACCATGCGCCCATAGCCCTATTGGATTAGGTACAAATTAGTACAAAGAAAAACGTGTGATGTGCAGATACCCGGTACAAATGTCATACTGTAAGACATGTATATTTAACGAGGAAGTAAATCTAACGTTTTAACGGATCATATTTCTTCGTTATAATAAGATCCGTTGAGGCCGTACTGCTTCATATATGCTGTGTGTGGATATGGCAAAATACTGCAAGATCGTTAACATTATCTTCTCGTTAACCTATGAATTTTGGACAATCGTTAAATTTGCGACTCGTTTTAATAACATGTGTTACAGTAAATCACTGGTGCAAGGAGAATTGCATCATGAAAATGACTCTGGGGGGGGGGGGGGTATGCACTCTTGCCGACACCAATACACACCGAC